GGTCGTGCAGTCGTAGCTGCGGGCGCCAAGCACAGCCAGTTCCCACCCACGCACGAGCGACGCTTGGCAAGCAATCACACGTACTGCTTGTCGCTACAGTATGACAACGTGCGCTCTCTGAGGCCCGAACTCTGGAAAGCACGCACTGCTTGTCGCTGCAGTATGACAACGCACGCTCTCTGAGGCCCGAACTCCGGAAAGCACGCACTGCTTGTCGCTGCAGTATGGCAACGCACGCTCTCTGAGGCCCGAACTGCGGAAAGCACGCACTGCTTGTCGCTGCAGTATGACAACGTACCCTCTCTGAGGGCCCGAACTTTGGAAAGCACGCACTGCTTGTCGCTTGCAGTATGACAACGCATGCTCTTTGAGGCCCAAATCCTGGAAAGCACGCACTGACTGTCGCTACAAGTACGACAACGTACGCTCTCTGAGGCCCGAACCCTGGAAGGGTAGGCACGCGAGCCGAACTGAACGGACGCACCACCGAAAACACCGGACAATCCAGCGCATTGCGCGACACTTCACGGCACATGAAGGAGCTGTACCTCTCTGACGTCTCAGCACCAGCTGACTGTGGTCTGTTAGCGAGCCACCGTCACGGTGAACACGAGGGACCCCCGCGCTCACCGCGTCCGCGCCTCGTCCACCACCGCGCGTCGATGGCGTTGTGCCCTCGCTAACCCACATGCGTGCGCCAACACCCGAGTACCGAAACCAGCTCACTAAACGCCGACCATTTCGCTGCCGTAAGCGAATCTGAATGGCGGATGGCGACGGCCGGGGACCTAGGCGTCGCACCGAACTCCGTCACCCACGAGCGCCGTCCCCGCCCCAGCGACGCGCCGGCGGCGCCCGGAGACGCGTCGCGCCGGCTGACCTGAACACGAGTAGCTTGCGGAACGTCTCGCGGTAGTCGTGCTGCTTCAGCTCGAAGTTGGAGATGCTTCGCCGCACGTTGGCCACCTCGTTGGCCTGCAGCGGCGCCACCTGCTGCTTGGCCTGGATGCTCAGCTTCACCGTGTTCTTCCACTTCTCCGGCAGCTCCTGACGCGTGAGACGGCCGGACCATGTTACACCGGGGCTGATATCATCGCCGCAGCGACAGCCCTCACCCTAGTTATAGGCAGGGGCATGGGGCGGTGTCGTGAGTGGGAGGAGGGGGCCCATGAAGCCTTGCGGGCACACTACCGTTGGTTTTCTTGCCAAAACACCGGGTGCGGCAATAAGAGGCGCCATCCCGGACCCCCAGATCATCGGCTGCACAACCGGCATCTAGTACTGGTGACGTCCTCGCCATGGAAACTCTCGCGACCTGAGCGTACGTCCCAGAGTCAGACTTCTGCTTAATTTCGTGTGCTGTCGAATCGGCTCTGGAGTTCAGCGAACTCCAGCTAAAAAACGCCTTCGCTTCATCACGGTCCGATTCACCCAAAATGATCCCGATACGGCAGCATCCATAGACGCCAAACCATGGCATAATTCATAATCCCGCAAAACGGCGCCTCGTTGTTGTAAGTCTCAGTACATGCGCTCTGAGGTAGCCTGAATAATCGCTTCTGCTCAGGCGGACTGCAGAATATAAGTCTGCAGACAGCAGCGCTTCGCAGGTTGGACGTCGCTTCCCAAGACACATGGCATGATCCTCATACAACAACGCACTGAATCGGAAGCACAGATAACACGACAAGCTCGTCGTTCACACCATCTGGCGAGGAAAATGGACTCGGCCCTTATCATAAAATGGAACGATGCCATCATACTGGCACGTAATGAAAGAAGAACCGGGCAAGTAAACCATTTGGTAAGAACGGCCGCAGCGCACCTGGAGCTGAAGGTGGATCTCCTCAGACATCTCGACGTCGTACGTCTTCAGCAGCTCAATGGTCTGCTTCAGCGGCTCGAACATGTTGTCGGTGACGTCTTGCCGCTCCTTGACGGCCAGCAGGTGGGCCATCATGGTGACCAGGCCCTGGTAGTCGCCCTCCTGCACTTGATTCACCAGCCCCGCGTCTTTCGCGTGGATGAAGTCTGCCAGGTCCTGCAGGCTGTGCAGGAGCAGTGTGGCACAGTGTCAGGTGCAGAGGTCATGGGAAGAAACACGACTGTTGGGCCGGATGACATTAAAACCAACGAAGCGCACCATCGCGGGTGTGACCTTACGCCGTTCACCGTCCTGCCCGGAGCCTCAGCTGCGGCAGTGCTCAGACAAAGTGACTGACACTGCTGGTCGGATTGATGACCGGGCTGCCCGGGCTGATGAGACTCAGCTAACACGAACTGCGCAAACAGTGTGGCAAACCAACACCACATCCGGCATCAGTTTCACCCCAGCTGACCCATCCACGTCAGCGCGCCTCCAGACGGGCAGGGCTAGCCGAGTTACCTGTTAGTGACGTGGTCGATCAGGTACTGCTTGAAGAGCAGACTCCAGCGCTTGATGGTGGTTGAGCAGCGCCGCCTTGAACGGCTTGCAGTCGAGCCGGAACCAGGTGTCGAACGTGACCACGGGCTTCACCCGCTCCATCTCGACTTACAGCTTCTCGTAGCTGTCGATCTGCTCCTTGTACTGGTCGAGCGTCGGCGGCGACTCGGGAATGCCGTCCTCGCCGACTGCTCGATCTCCTCGGGCGTGATCTGGTGGCCGTACCTGGAGACCGCCAGCCCGGCCGCACCCAGGTCACGAGACGACCGGCCACCCCGCCGCTGGCCGGCAAAGCCCAGCCAACGGCCCAGTGTCTTTTGGCGTCCTTTGGCGCTGCTTTCTACGCGGCTCGCTTCACTGTCACAAGTTTCGGCGAATTGCAGAGTGCACCAAACCACTGAAGAGTGACAACATTTTGACCTGATGAAAAGGCAGAGCTCGACAATACTTCACAAAATGAAAGTGGCGCTGAGCTGCGCCAATAAATATACTACCATCCGGTGTGACTTGAAAGGAAGCCAAGAGTTCTACAGGTGTATCCCTATCGATGTTCTACCGACAAACTTGACTGAACCCATTTATACCGCGTGTTTCGATAACAGCGGTTGGCCGGCAGGGCCTGACCTGGACCGAATTGGGCACCCGCACTAACCTGAGGAACTGGGCCATAAATTTCGCTGCGGTCGTGTCCGTCCACAGGTAGCTGTGCTGGTCCAGCGAAGACCTGTACTCTTGAGCCCTGGCGGCGCGGACGCACACAGTGACTCACGGTGGTGGGATCAGGCAGCAGCAGCGGTGGCCTACGGTGGCGGGCTCAGGCGGCAGCAGCAGCGGTACACGGTGATGGGATCGGGCTCCAGCGGCGGTGGTACACGGTGGTGGGATCGGGCGCCCAGCAGCGGTGGTACAACGTGGCGGGATCAGGCGGTAGCAACAATGGGTACAAGGTGGTGGGATCAGGCAGCAGTAGCGTGTGTACACGGTGGTGTTATCGAGGCGGCAGCAGCAGCGGTACACGGTGGTGGGGATCGGGCTCCAGCAGCAATGGTACAAGGTGGTGGGGATCAGGCAGCAGTAGCGGGTGGTACACGGTGGTGCTATCAGGCGGCAGCAGCAGCGGTACACGGTGGTGGGATCGGGCTCCACAGCAATGGTACAAGGTGGTGGGAATCAGGCAGCAGCAGCGGCGGTACACGGTGGCGGGCTCAGACGGCAGCAGCAAGCGGTACATGGTGGTGGGATCGGCTCCAGCGGCGGTGGTGCACGGTGGTGGGATCAGGCGGTAGCAACAATGGTACAAGGCGGTGGGATCAGGCAGCACAGCAGTGGTTCTGGTCATCAAGGACTCCATAATAAACCAACACAGCACGAGTCCGTCCAATCACTGATACGCGGGCAGATTTTGGAGAGCGATGGCGACGTAATCTACAAGCATATACACACATTTCGGGAACAGGGTTCCACAACATAGCTTCCCGCCTCTGAAAACGACGCAGACCGGCGGAGGGAAGAGACCGAGCGGAGGCCGACAACCGCGCTCCTCTCACCTGGGCTGATGACGGAGTGGGATATTGTTCATCAGAGCGTTGCGCATCTGGCTCAGCTGTTTCCGTCTCGTCCAGCTCCTCCAGGTACGACTTCTGGTGCACCTTCCTCGACAGCTTCTTCATCAGGTGGACATGTTGAATATGTCGGACACAACACCCTCTGTGATGTCCAGAAAGCCGCCTTCCTCCTGGCAAAGTGTGCCCCGGTCAGTGCTTGCAAACCGCGAGCTGATCGCGAGGCGCTCGCCGATGCTTCCTTGAAGCACGCGTTACGCACTGCCAAGAAAGCACCGGTCAGGCCCCCAATTTCAAAGAGCACGCCCGCGACTACAACGTTAGCAGCAAAAGCGGTTTTTTTTCTGTTTCCGTAGTGTTTGTCTGGGGGTTCCGTGCACTGCAACGGAGCCACACACGCTGTGCCGCATGACACCAATGTTGGCGGGTCAGTTAAAGCCTCTCAGGACAGCAAGGCGAAAGGCCTATCATCCGGCTCTCACCCGGATGACTAACGAGGGCTTAAGAACAGCACGTCCGGCTCTTACCTGGAAGTCGAGCGAGGAACTGTACAGCACGTCCAGCCCTCACCTGGTAGTAGAGAGAAGGCCTGAGAAGAGCACGTCCGGCTCTCACCCGGCAGTCGAGCGAGGCTTTGCACGGAGCGTTCGGCCTCACCTGATAGTCGAGCGAGGGCTTGAACAGCACGTCCGGCTCGATGAGCTCGAGACGCGCCTCCATCAGCGGCTGGGTGTTGACGCGCGGGTCGGTGTTGTCCAGCAGGTAGCCGAGGCTGCACTGCACCACCCTCACGAACTCCTGCACCACGATGCCTGGCGGAGCGGAGCGCAGTCGCGGCGGCTCGACAGCGCCTCGCGGCGGCTCGACGCCGCAGCGTACATGTACAACACAGATTCTCACTCCCCTCTGAGACTCTCACCGTGCGCAGTGCACACTCATCCGTCTACAAAGTGCACGTAGTGGCGCCAGGCGCGCGATTTCCCGTCGGCCTTCAGGTGTATCTTGTTTCTCGCCACCAGCCGGTGGATCTTTCGCCCGACTTTGTGATGGCCGCGTACCTGAAGACATTGCAGTAATCACTGGCCACCAGCTGAGAGAAGATGGTCGACAGTGGCAGCTCAGCCAGGTGTGGGGGGGGGGGGGGGGGGCGCAAAAGAGGGTCCGAAGGGCTGGCTGGAGGTGGCATTAAGGGTTCAGTCCTGCCAAACGGGCCCTCAAACGCCAGTCAGGGGCTCTTTGCGCCGATTTTGGGCCCCTGAACCGATGGCCAGGCACCACCAGCACCGGACAGCTTGGCTCCGTGACGGTCTGGACCCGAGGGCCCATTTCCGAAGGAGGGACAAGGCCGGGGCCCCCCGATTTACGATGGTCGCGGCCGTTAAGTCAATGAGTCCCCCCCCCCCCTCCCCCGACACTTTTTGTCGGCCAGGGGCCCGCAGCGCCTAACAGGGGATTTCGTGTTTGGCAAGGGGGCCGGAGTCAAACAGTGTTCGAGGGGCTTGAAGATAAGGCCTGAAGTGCCCTTCGAATCGTCGATCAAGGCCCAATTGGAGGTTGAAGGGACCAAAAGGCCCCTCGGGGGCCCTATCAAGGGTCCGTCGATCAAGGGGCCGATTGGAAGGCTGCGGGACCTAAAAGCCCTAAAGGACTACATGTAGGCCACATTATGGGCCAGGATCCGACTCGTACGCCCGTGACCTCAAATGTCAGAGTGCCTCTTACATTGATTGAAAATCCTGAGATAGGGGGAGGGGGGGCTACCATCATCTGCGACGGGGAGATAATTTTCTGCGCGCGAGTCCCAGACGCATTGACGGTACTGACGCACTGCGAACAGACTCACAGACCCCCACAAACGTTAATAGATACAGTACCTAGCATATCCATGAGCTACCAATGTCAGTTCATCCCTGGTACCTTTAACAGTTCTTTTAGTTGCGTGACGCAGCCCTTCCCTCAGTCATCCGCAAGTGTCCTTACTCAATCCACGGCCGTTGCAATACAATGCGCTGTATGCGCTGTCAATGGCAGCATCCGTGAAATCGAAACCAACAGGGTGTCCCTGAACACCAGATTCCGGAAGTATGTTAAGTAGTTTCGTCGTGAAAACTGTGCTGGTAGCGACAGCGGGAGAGGAGGGGGGAGGCTAAAACTCCAAGAGCCACCCTTGGCTGCGCCACTGTTCTTCCGTGATCTTATTTGTTGGGAGCTTTGCTTGATATGCAAACCCTAGACCTTTGAACCTCTATCCATATCTATCAGCCGGCTCAGAGAAGGCGAGAACAGGCGCTGTGTGACCATGGTCAGTCGGCGTGCCCCCGAAAATTTCACGTCACACCAGCGAGGAGTCAGCATGGAGATTGAAGCAGGTCAGCCGACCGTTCTGCTCGTTCAAAACCCTCTGAGGTAAGGAGGTGAATTAGATGCCTTGTGCGAATATCTAAGTGCATAGCACAAATGTTGCAAAACTCCAAACGTCGCGGAAACGGTGCTTTATTACCAGGTACGCGAGTAAAGTTTTTATTTATGGGGGAGGGAAAATGCCAAATGTTTCCGAGCCCCTGCGAAGTAGGACCGAATTTGGTGAAATCGCTGTGTCTAATGTAAGACTGTTAGCCTGGGGGAAGCGGCATGCCCTCCCCCCACCCCCCACGCCTCCCTGGCCTGCACATCGCCATTATCGCACCAAAGTGTTTTAGCTTTCAGCTGTGCAAAGAGAAAACTACAGAACTCCCAACTTAATCACATGACGCTTGCGTCACTATCATAACCTCAGACCTCAAGCAGCACGGAAGCAGAGCCTCAAATCCACGCCAGTGCACGCCTAACACGACTCGGCGTCGGATGACATACGTTTTCTTCAGTTTCTCCTCCTTTTCCTCCAGATTTAGCAGCGTGTTGGTCCGATCCTCCTTTCTCTCAAATAGAGGCTTAGAGGCAAACACCAACAGCATATCTGGAAAGTCGGAAACGTGCGTCCAGGCGCTATCATACATTCTGATTACAGCCATTGATCGAAACGCAACGAAAAACATGTCGTCGCTTTACCCTTCCTGCAACAAGAGCCGCGACCACGTTTACAAATCTTGATGACAATGAGTCTGGTCAAAATATAATTAGCAAGCCCTATAGGCTGCTGACATGATGGTATGACTGACCCGAAGGAAAAGCTTTTTCATTTGACCCTAGTTGCATAATAAAACGACCACCAGGTCAGTTACCAGAGGGCGCTGAAGTCAGCCAAAAGTGGAGGGCAAGTGAAGGAACTCCGCGTGATCTGTTACGTCATCAGCATCTCAACAAGGTAAAGCACGTAGTCAAAGTAACTGATCCTAACAAACACCCACCCCTTATAATCTGGATGTTCTTCTGAGACGTGGAAACGCGTTCAGAGAGATCCATCACAAGGTCACGAGTTCCCTTGATGTACTCCCAAGCATCTGGAAAATGAGTCATCTGATCAGCGCACACATCGAGGCGGCTCATACCCAGGGAGTCGTTTAGATGAATCGGAATTTCAAACTCATAACTTGGCCGTCAACACAGGAGGGTTTTTGTGTGACGCGCGTTTTTGATTGGATTTAAGGTGTTGGAATGAGCTGCCTTCTGCCCTTCGCATGAATCTGCAACGGTCGGTGACGGGGACGCCTCCTAGCTGAATCCAAGAATCACCAAAACTGCAGACACGAGTTACAATGACCGCGCTGAGCCTGCAGAAACCGCAGCACATCACTCACAGGCCATGTCGCCCCACACATCAAATCTCGAACGGCAACCGAGAGCGAGGACGTAGGCTAGGGTGTACACGGGCGACAAAACGTAACTACGACCTGATCTCAACACCAGGCTACCGAGATTAACGAAGCCTCATTGAAATCGCAGCTGCTTCCAAAACGCTTGAGTCAGAACCACAACAACCATGGAGGCAGCTAGCTACGCGATCGGAGCGCAATTTCCATCGTTTGCCAGACCAGGGCTGGTCCAGCACAGATCGGTTTCAGCTCTTGCTAGTCGCTGGTCGATCTCCTTCATCTGGCTCTCGATCAGCTTGGAACTCCACGGGCTGGGTGTTTGTGACGAAGGCCATTGTAACTGTGGAGCAGAGACCGGGTTATCCTAAAGCGCACGAAACTGCAGGCTGTTACAGCTGTTCAGCGGAGACTAGACTTGTTACAACACAATAGATGCAGTTGTTAAGCAGACCACTGAGCGCGACCAGAGCCCAGACTGGATGTCATGTATGAGTAAAGAGTCGCAAGGTTCGTGACCAGTGCACCAAAAACTGAACATCTTACGGCCACACCAGCCACATGGCGACCCCCACCGAGCGGCCTGGACAGGTCACTTAGCTGAGGAACGGCAGCTGTTACAGCCGAGCCGCTCCCGGTGACGGCGGCATCACTCACGAGGTGCAGATGAGCTCCAGGTTGGAGGTATACTGGCGGTACATCTCCGAGTTGTCGTCCATGCTGGCCGGCGTCGCCGGGTACGTTCGTCGCGGTTCAGCTGCCGCAGGTACTTGACCCTCCCTCAGGATGCTCACCAGCTGCCCGGCAGCGCGGCGTCGGCGCGTCACGTGACGCAACGTTGGCACACTCACGGTCGCCACAGCAGGACTACATCAGCTGTCACCAGCCAGAGTCGCGCTCAGATTAGCCGGGCCGCCACAATAGAACTATATCAGCTGTCACCAGCCAGAGCCGCACTCAGATTAGCCGGCCGCCACAATAGAACTATATCAGCTGTCACCAGTCAGAGTCGCACTCAGATTAGCCGGCCGCCACAATAGAACTATATCAGCTGTCACCAGCCAGAGTCGCACTCAGATTAGCCGGCCGCCACAATAGAACTATATCAGCTGTCACCAGTCAGAGTCGCGCTCAGATTAGCCGGCCGCCACAATAGAACTATATCAGCTGTCACCAGTCAGAGTCGCGCTCAGATTAGCCGGCCACCACAATGGAACTATATCAGCTGTCACCAGTCAGAGTCGCGCTCAGATTAGCCGGCCGCCTCAGCAGGCTATATCAGCTGTTACCAGCCAGAGTCGCGCTCAGATTAGCCCGGCCGCCTTCAGCAGGACTACATCAGCTGTCACCAGTCAGAGTCGCGCTCAGATTAGCCGGCCACCACAATGGAACTATATCAGCTGTCACCAGTCAGAGTCGCGCTCGATTAGCCGGCCGCCTCAGCAGGGCTATATCAGCTGTTACCAGCCAGAGTCGCGCTCAGATTAGCCGGCCGCCACAGCAGGACTACATCAGCTGTCACGAGCCAGAGTCGCGCTCAGATTAGCCGGCCGCCACAATGGAACTATATCAGCTGTCACCAGCCAGAGTCGCGCTCAGATTAGCCGGCCGCCTCAGCAGGACTACATCAGCTGTCACCAGTCCGAGTCGCGCTCAGATTAGCCGGCCGCCTCAGCAGGACTACATCAGCTGTCACCAGCCAGAGTCGCGCTCAGATTAGCCCGGCCGCCTCAGCAGGACTATATCAGCTTGTCACCAGCCAGAGTCGCGCTCAGATTAGCCGGCCGCCTCAGCAGGACTATATCAGCTGTCACCAGCCAGAGTCGCGCTCAGATTAGCCGGCCGCCTCAGCAGGACTATATCAGCTGTTACCAGCCAGAGTCGCGCTCAGATTAGCCGGCCGCCTCAGCAGGACTATATCAGCTGTTACCAGCCAGAGTCGCGCTCAGATTAGCCGGCCGCCTCAGCAGGACTATATCAGCTGTTACCAGCCCACAGCCCTGCTCAGATCGCCATTCTCCAAGAAGATCATGGCCGGTGTAGCAGTGTCGTCAATGCTTCACTCGGACGAAGCAGAGCCAAGAGTGAGCCCGCTGGCCCCACAACCCCACAGCATCGCAACTCAGTTTCTTCCCCACGCCAAACATCCCAAAGCGCGCCGATGTGTGCGAGGCCTGTCCGCCCCTGCCACGGGACCACCGTCCGCCGTCCCGCGGTCCCCGGCCTCGGTCCCCGTTCGGTCCCGCGCCCGTCAGCGGGCGGCGCTCACTGCGGGTCAAAGTTGGTATGCACGGCCTTGTGCGTGCGCGTGATGAGCGCAGCTTCAGCTTCTCCTGGATCTGACTTGTCACGCCGCCCTGCCACTCGTCATCACCGTCTTCTCCCGTTCGAGCAGCAGCGCATCAGATCGTCGTACTTGTCGTACATGTTTTGGCCGAGTCACACTCCACCACCCTGACGCGTCCGATCCAGGTCATGTTCCACCCTCCTGACACGGTCCGATCCCGGTCACACTCCCACACCCCCTGACACCGTCCCATCCCTGTCACACTCCATCCCCCCTGACACGGTCCGATCCCGGTCACACTCCACCCCCTGACACGGTCCGATCCAGGTCACACTCCACCCCCCCTGACACGGTCCGATCCAGGTCACGCTCCACCACCCCCTGACACGGTCCGGTCCAGGCCACGTTCCACCCCCCTGACACGGTCCGATTCAGGTCACACTGAACACAACACGAACGGGTCCAACCCATGCCGCGCCACACAAGGAGCCATCAGAAGCCAGCGCACGATAACGGTCACGTTTTCAAGGTATTGTTAGTCCGGGACGGATCAGCCCCTCACTCTCTCCAGCTCCTGGCCGTCCAAGGGCCAAAATGTCTAAATCGATCATCGGGTAAAATGGCAGTTGGCAAAATGGGCAAAAATGACGACCTGCGTTTGCGCTGATGCAATTGATTTTGTTTCCTGAGCGGGAGAATTGCGTTTTTAATGTTCGCAACACGTAAATGCAAACATGATACGGACTTATCATTATTCGAGCTAGACCCTGCCTTGGTCACGCGAGCACCGCACGCCACAGCTTGCGTTGAAAGTGGGCTTCAAAGAAACAATACGAAATGGGTGTAATAACCGCGACTGCCTCTGCCATTGAGTATTTGAACTGAAACTAACCAACGAATACATACATCGAGCGTGTCTAACCGGCTTGGTGACAATGGGATGTCAAGGCGATGAAAAAACAATGTTGTTCTCTTTCTAGAACCGGTCTCCGCTTAGCTCGCGTGATACTCCAAGCGTGTTTCTGAGGCCTCGATGCTGGATCTGCCCTTCACAGCTGTTCCAGTGTTTCAACAAGCGCGCCGTTAGCTTGTCAGCTTAGCTTAACAAGCGCGCTTGTTACAAGCGCGGGTGGGCGGCAACTCGCGGACGAAACGAATATCGGTCGGGAGAAGCGTGCGCCGCACCGCTCTTCACCTGCTTACCGTACCAGGCTACATCAGCGCCTAGTGCCAGCATATACACAGCGCAGGGACCGAATGGCCGCCGCTCAATCCAGCCGCGGTGGATGTATTACACAGTCGTATGTCCCCATCGACTTAACCAAGCTAACAGCGGACCCAGTCCAGTTAGCGGAAGCGAAGGTATCGTATCTCAAGGGTCTACGGCTTCGGCGAACAAAATGAAGATATGTACAGCTTCTACAGTGTATGAGATGTCATACGCATGTAAGGGTAAAGACATATCTCAGCTGAAGGAGCGTAAAGTGACGTACGCCGAATGGCTCTGGTCACTAACAATAGGTCTACCAACCATCGACGAGATATAAGGGTCACACCATGTGAGATACACGAAGGCGTAGAGAAGCGAGCATTTTACAGCATGGAACGGCCGTCCGTTGGAATTCCGGTGTCCAATTCATGACGGCAAAGCAATATTACAGCAGCTGTACAGGTCCGCAGGGTGTTGAAACACGTAGCCGCATTTACCATTCGGGCAGCAGAGGTTTTCCAACTTGCCTGCAATGTCAGTTGAACACTGATAACGTTATTGAATAGCGAGCAGCCTCAGACATTGAGCTAGTTTGCGCCACCAATTGAGACGAGCAAACACGAGCACAGGCACAAAATGCAGCGAGTTGCAGGCCCACACATACCTGCACGTCGAAAAATAGCCACGTGGTGAACATATATTTAATTACTCCATGCTGTTTCCGCTAATTAGCGTTCCTGGACGGAAAAGCCTAGTCATCTTGTGGTCCTCGGTGCGAGGTGTCTCTTAAGTAAAGTAACGAACTTTTTACGTGCGTCACTTATGCCCCAGCTCTACGGGCATACGGGCGTGGAAACGGGCATAAAAAAAACATTCCAGCCGCACTTCGGACACATTTCTGACCTTATCGCAGTGCGCTCTAAACAGCTGGTATAAGGCTGCCGCGTTTCGGAGCGGTTTTCCATTAACAACACCTGCCCACCGTGCCGCGTGCCCTGAGCCCCAGCCAAGTGACCCGACCCCGAGCCGCAGGCGTGCGCCCCATCGGTGCCGGCGCGCCCGCCATCGACAGCTCCGAGCCGCCGGTGGCGCCCCCCCCCCCCCCCCCCGGCGCCCCCACTCACGGTGCTCCAGGCCGCGGAAGTTGTCCATGGTGCCCTGCACGCGTCCGCGCAGCTCGGCTATCCACTTGAGCGTGCCGGCCACGGCGGGCATTGTTCTGCCCCAGCTGAAGGGAGCCGGCCTCGGCCAGCGCCATCTGGCGGTCGTACACCACCTGGCCGCCGCGGCCAGGCGTGCTCAGTGCCGGAGGTCGCTCGCTTTACCCACGTCACTTTTAGCATCTGCCTCTTAAAGGCCGGACATCCATGTGAGCACACCAGGCAGACGACAAGAGGGTTGGTGCTCACACGAGTTTGTCTCCCGCGTAAACCAACCTTCTTTCCCGCGTAAACCGACCTTGGCTTCGTCCAGTTCGGCGTGAATCATCTGCAGCAGCTGACTGTACTTGGGCTCGAAGTCCTCTTTGATGACGGGCCGCTCCAGAAGAGTGCCGCACATAGTGATCAACTGAAACCGTGGCGCAAACCATAGGCGAAGGCTTTATAAGCGTTCGAACCGGCACTCATCGGTCAAAACTTCCACCCGCTTGCGCGAATCAGTGCTGATTCAGACGGCGCCATAACCCCCAGGCAGAACTCAATCAGACAGCTGTCGCACATCGAGCAGACAAAAACGACGGTGTCTGCGGTAACCACCGGCCTCCCGCTCCCTGTGGCCACCCGCCCGATCCCCGGCAAGTCGCA